AAGTGTTGTGTGGAACCACTCCAACTGCTTCACAGTTCGGGGACATCTAAAGACAACTGAGGACATGACCATGCTTGTCTGCACAGGCACACAGTGGGGTATATTTATGTAACCATGACTTAGCACATATGAACTCCCTTGGGATGGTTAGAGGACTGCACAAGAATGTAAATATGAGATAACAACCTGTGTAAGAATTATATAACAAAAAGTGGTCCTCTGCTCTGCTCCATACTGCCTGCCACTGTTGCTGATGTCTTGAACATGTACATTCTCTAACCTTGGGGCCTCACCCAAGAAAATCTTCCTTGAGTCCCCAAAACAGGCCAAAAAGTGCTCACACAGTGCCCATGCACAGCCCATGTACCTTTCAGGCAATGGCCTGCCTGGTCATGTTCTAGAAAGTTCCTGAACAGCTGAGGCACATTCAGCAGATGTTTTTGTAAAGTGCCTGGAGGGTCACAACTCAGCAGGCTCCATTTTAGACACCCTGACTCCATTTGGCAGCTTCTGTGCTTAATGCCTGAAAGAATCCTAATTCCTATTTCACTGATTCCTGTTATAATGCTGTAAACCTAAATTAATCACACTGGAACCATGTCTGCAATAAATTGTTAACAGGAAAAGGGAGGCTAAAAATGTACCAATGATAGTTCCCCCTCTACATACAAAAAGAGCAAATATTTCTAATTTTTCCTCCTTGTTTGTTGGACCTTTTGAAATGTGTAAATATTATCATAATTACCAAAACAATGATTTAGGGGCAACAGAAAAAGAAAAATTAGAGGTGGGGAAAGGATTCAATGACAAAACATTCAAAGCCCCATTGCAAAGTGACCTGATTTAGGCCTCTGCTGCCTCCCGCTGCAGGAGAAGCCATTGTCCTCCTGTTATCCTTAGGGAAACACAAGAGCCTTGTCCATCCTTGATGGCCAGAGATGCAAAGCTGAAGAACAGCTGCAAAACACTCTGGCCACCTCTGACTCATGAACACCATGGAAATGCTATTTCTCATCTGCATTCTCTACATAGCTGCTAAAATAAGTGATCACTTTTAAGTGTGAAAACAAAGCGTGGAAAAGTAAGAGGATCTGTTCGAGATCATTTCTGCAATAGTAGAGTCAGCATGCAAACCCTGTTCCTGGAGCCAGACAGTCATCCCCCTACCCTCCCAACATCTGTAGTCAGGGAACCACTCTGGTACAATACATTGCTTGGGGGAAAATAAAAACACTTTTATCAAAGATAGAAAGATACTTAGCCTTTAACATCTTGATTCATGTTCCACATGCAAGAGTCTGAGCTTTGAATATGGCCATTGATATTTTTCCAGCAATCTAGGCTCTCCGATATCTTGTGTTTGCCCCAAAGGGGCAAGAGATTACTAAGCAAAGTCTGCATTAGCCTGAAACTGCACACATGCTTTAAAATTTGTGCCATTTCCTTTCCATTAAAAAAATATAATTATTGACACATACTAGTTGTACAGAGTAAGAAGACTCATTATGGTATTTTCATATATGCATATACTGTGCATTGCTCAAGTTTGTCAAGCCCTCTCCTACCTTCACCCTCTCTCCTAACTGTCCTCCCAGGCCTGTGTAGTCCTGTGTAGCCTCTCTTCTACTTTTTTTTTTTCTATTTTCCACATATGAGAGAAAACATGCACTATTGGTCTGTGTCTGAATTATTTTGTTAAACATGATATCCTCCACTTCCCTGAACTTTTCTGCATATGACTAGATTTCATTCTTCTTTATGGTTGAACAGGATGTGTGTGTGTGTGTGTGTGTGTGTGTGTGAGATGGTGTGTGTATGTCTGTGTGCACATGTGCATGCCACGTTTGCTTTGCCCATTCTCTTGCTGACACATACCTAGACTGATTGCTTGCCTTGGTTATTGTGAATATTGCCTCTCTTGCTCCTTTCTTGCTCCTTAGCCATTGTTGTATAACAAAGCATTCCCAAACTCAGCACCTTATTGCAAAATTTTATAATTATTAATCAATTTTCTGGTTTGGTGAGGCTCAATTGGGCAGTTCTTGATTACAGTAGACTGTCCTATAACTTCAGTCAGCTTGCGGCTAATACTGTAGTTCCCTGGTAAGTCATTTGTGCTGGAAATCCACCATAGCATATTCCCATGGTCTAAACTCCAGGAATAAGAAAGGGAGGGCTGGAATATGTCTTGAAGTAGAGCACTTGCCTCGTATGAAGGAAGTCCTTAGTTCCATGCCCAGCATAACACTGTATAACAGCTTACAATTGATTTCTAAGACCATAGGGAGAATGAAAACTGGATAGAGGAGCATTATTTGCCACAATAAAGCAAAAGAAATGACAAGCTTAGTGCCCTCAGAGAGGAAAACTGATGAGACCACATTTCACTGCAGAACCTTGGAAGTAGAGACATTCCATGTGATACAAATCTATAATTGTGTGCTACTGCTTGTTTTCTTTCTGTCAAAAAAAGTGCACCATTCTTGTGTTAGGCATTGAGTTGGGTACTGAGATACAGTTATTCCCAGTTGTCTTACTTACTTTTCACTGGTTATTGAGACAAAATACCTGATGCCCAACATGAAAGAAGGAGAGGTTTATTTCTTACAGGTAAGAGATTTCAGTCCACACTCAGTTGGCTCCAAAGCAAAATGAAATGGCTGAGGGGCAGCAGTTTGTGATGTCTACAAAACGCAAGCAAGAACAGCAAAAAGAAAGAAACACCTTCTTCTCTCAGGTACAATGTAGGCTAGCTCCACTCCACTGCACATGGAGCACACATAACACCAATCTAAGCACTAGACAATCAATCAGAAATACTGGATTTGGTCGCATCCATGATTGCATGAGGCTTGGGAAGGGCACTGACATTTACGTTTATTTATGTTTACCATGACATTAGTAGAGGCAAAGAGCCTCCTCTCATTCTCTCACCATGAACTTTACAGTCTATTGAGGTAGGGACGATATTCATCATATCATTATTCAAATACATGCTAAGCATTCCTAATCCAAAGTCTGAAGTCTGAATGCTACAAAGTCCAAAACTTTTGAGTACAGATGTTTTATGCCAAAAGTTGAAAATTTCACAGCAACAAATTTTGTTTCAGATACAAAATGTTTTTAATTAAGATTATTGGTACATGTTAGGTGTAAATAACGATCATGTTAATCATGGGAAATTTCCAGCATACATGTTATGAATTATTTATTCTCCATTCTCCTACTTTTGCTTCAACTCCCTTCCCCTCCTTATTTATGAAAGTTTTGTTTCCTTCTTTTCTCATCATTTTTTTCTTTTCCCTTCCTTCCTTTCTCCCTCCTCCATCCCTAATTCCCCATCTCATTAGATAATGTTCACAATATTTATTTTATTTTGCCTCTTATCTACATTTTCAGTTTCCCACACCAGAGAAACAACATAGTACGCATATCAAACACAAAATTATTAAAAATATATAAAACTGCCTTCAGGCTATGAGTTTGAATTATATATGAACTATAAATAAATTTCATATTTAAACTTGGGTCCCATCCTCAAGACAATATATTATGTCCTATGCAAGTTCTTCAATAAAAAAAAATTCAGGAATTCCTAACACTTCTGGTCCGAATCATTTTGTATAAGGGATAGCGAATATGCAGATGTTTAATTAACAACCTCAAGGAAGAAGTACAAAGGCTGATCAAAATATACAGCTAATATTCAAACTTTTAAAATTTACTAAAACAAAAGATACATGCCCATTAATCCTCCTTAAAAAACATCTCCTTAAAAATAAATTGAAGAAAATACATCTCCTTGCTTCAAACATACTTCTACATTTGTTCTTTCTTTTCTGAAGCAGTTTGGAAGTCCTCCTTTGTGAGTCTCTTTATAAAATGAGATAAAAAATATAGTGAATGCAGTTGCTGAATGCCATTCAATGAAAAGGAAGGTTCATAAATACATTATGGTGCAGCCTCATCCACCGAATTCACCAGATCGGGATCCTTGTGACTTCAGATTCTTCTCCAAAATCAAAATGACCATGAAAGGTAAATAGTTTGAACTGATTCAAGACATTGAGGCAGCCACAACAGCAAAACTGAAAAATCCAAAGCGGAACTGCAGCGGTGCTGTGCTAAGTATCGGTTTGTTAAGAGAGATGTTGGTGCAAAGCCCACTGGGTTAAAATTCTGTCCCTTGATTTGTCATTGGAAATGGTATTTAATGTTGGTGTCTAGGCTCACACAGCTATGAAAATGAAGATAATTCCTAACTCCTACTCTTGTAAGAATTAACATATGTAAAGTGCCTCAAAGAGGCCCTGGCCTGATATCCATAAGTGTTAAATATGCTTGTTAGTATGTTATATTCACATGTAAACGTACTTATAAGTTATGAAGAAATTCAACGATGGACACCTAAAGCACTCATTTCTCTGTAATAAAGAAGGGCAACAAGGCAAATAGCAGTGATACCTGGGCACTTGCTATATGTTAGGAACCATGGGAAGAGCTCTGCAGGGTTTTCATCAGATCTTCACAGCAGTGCCCAGAGATGAGTATTACCATTCCTCAGGGTTGTTTTTTTTTTAATGGAACACACCCTCAATATTTCAAAGGAAAATAACAGCAGAGTAACAATAGTGGAAATTGAGGCTCCCAGAAGAGAAGCAGTGTGCCTAAGGTGTCAGGCCCGGGAAGATTTGAGTCCAGAAATCTATAAATTCCAAGCCTCAGTCCACTCCTCTGCTTCCTCTCATAATGGGCCTGGGGCTGGGTCTCCCAGAAGCCTCATCAGAGACCTCCACCTGCAGCCAAATCCTGCCTCAGGGGGACCCTAAAACCCAATGCAATGCCCACTGCGTCATTGTTGCCTCACAGGAGGATTATGCACTTATTGTGTCCCAGGTTCTGGCCCCGCCCCTTGCCCGCCTCTCACATTGCTTGACCCCACCCCCTGGCCTCAAAGGAAGATTACACTCCACCAGGCCCAACCTGGGCGGGCCGCGCCCATGGACCACCCTGAGCCACGGGCCTGCACATCCCAGCTCATCCCGCCCGCCCCGGCCTTGCTTTGCAGTGGATGCTGGTCTTGTGCATGGAGTCGCTATTTTGCAGCTAGCAACGCCATCTGGAGACTGGAGCGCTCTTCCTTAGGCGGCCTAGGCTGTGGCGGGGCCAGGGTTGGGGTCTGGGACAGGTAGAAGGGCTAAGCCCAAGGTGAGTGGCGGCTTGGCCCGGTGGCCCTGATGTTAGCGGCGCAAGTGCCCAGGGCGGGATGTCTTGGGTCGGGGGCCCAGGGCGGTAGCGGGCGCGGAGTAGGGGCGACCTGGCCTGAGGTCTGCAGGGCCCCTCTCTCCCTTCCTCTCTCTTCTGCGTAGGGGATCAGCATGGCCAGGCCTGACACGTCGCCCCGGGATCCCCGGTCCCCCCTGACAGGCGCTGCTGGGAGCCCAGCCCTGGTGTGGGACCTGTGGTGCAGTGGCTTGGGGTTTCACATGGCCTCTGCTGTCAGTGAGCTTGGCCATACTGAGCCGCAGACATTTACCCCAAAAGGACGATTGGATTCTACTCAGAACTCCTCCCTGCAGAGATTGAGAGAAGACCTAGATGTAACAGTAAGACAGTAGTTATTATTCTACCTGTACATGCTTTGGCTCCAGTCCATTCCATTGATAAGGGGGATTCTGCTTCTTTTAATATTGGCGGCACTTGGGTGTTTAGGTTTTGTGAGGAGAATGAATGCAGGCCGGGGCTTTGAGGCATGAGGAAGTGTGATAAGTAGTGTTTAAAAATTTAAATCCACAAATGAAGATAATTCACCCACATTGTTAAACTCTGCTGCAGAATAGCCATCTTCTCCATATTTGGCTGTCTCTAAGGATTACTACCCAGTTCTGCTCACATCATTTATATATTTGCATAATGTTGAATGTTTATATTACATGCATAGGTAGACTTGTACTTAGTTATCCTATTACTGACTGTGTACACAAGTCTAGTTTCTCTTAGAAAAACTGCGTTGAGCATATATCTTTGTTTCTTGGGATAAATTCCAGAAATTAGAAATACTAAATCAAAGTTCTGTGTTCTTTCCCTGGCACTTGATATGAATTTGTCCTTAAACAAAGCATGTTTAAGACATCTTTCAAAATCTAGGAATTTGCCCAATTATCTGGATAAATTTGGAGTTCAGCAAGGTGTTGAGTCATTTTCTGGGCAGGCTGAGAGATAGGCCACACAACCTACTGTTGGATTTTGTTTTTAAGTCATGTACCAGGGTCATCTTTTTGTTTTGATTGAGTCTATTTGGTTTTGTTTCATTTGGTTTTATCCTCTTTAAAATAAAAAGATAAAAAAAAAACACTTTACTGCAAGGCATGGTGGTGCATGCCTGTAATCTCAGCACTCAGGTGGGTTAGACACCAGGATCACAGGGAGTGTGAGGCTAGCCTGAAATACTTGGTGAGTCAAGGTCAGCCTGCAGTACATAGCAAGATCTTGTCTCAGAACAAAACAAACAACCCCTTTTTCATCTTTTCTTATTTTAATGTAGCACAAGTAGATATTAATAGAGAAAATATGAAAACACTTATAAGTAGATTAAAGTTTTCATCCTATGCAGTTTATATATATGAAAATATAGTATACTTTATATGCTATATAACTTTATATACTATGAAACTGCATAGTTTCATACTATGCAGTTTGTATACTATATTCAGTGATCCTGGGAATTTCTGCATGAGCTGTATATGTATGCACTTTTAAAATTTGTTTTTGTCTTTGTTTCAATTTTTTAAAATTTTTAGAACAGGGTCAAAATAATTTACTCAGTTCCCCAGGTTTGGTTTAAACTTGTGCTTCTTCTTCCTTAACCTCCCAGAGTGCTGGGAGTACAGGTACAGGCTATCCATCCTTAGAAATTCACAATGATTATGTATGTTTATGGGATAAAATGTGCTTTTGACCTATGGCTCCTTTTTAAAAAGAATCAGTCTAGATAAAGTATATAGGACCTTCTTAACCTACAAATTCTTTCAGAGTTATTGGGACTATAATCCCATTGTTTAGCAGTTTTGAAAGCTATCCTTTTTATTAACTGTGGTCACCATGCAGTTTAGGAGAGAATTGAGAATTTCTTCTCCATTGTCACTAAGATTTTGCATTCTTGGGTGAACATCCTCCTTTCTAAATCCCTCATGGAATTGATCTTTTTTAAAATCAAAGTGCCCAAGAAAGGTGTGGAGGTTCAAGCTACTTGGGGCACACAGCTCTTCAGAAAGACCAGGCAATGGTACTCTGAAGCCCCTCATGTTGCTCCCAGCTTTTTGTTTTTTGTTTTTTGTTTGTTTGTATTTTCCTTAACAGAATTCTGGGAATTGAATGCAGGGATGTCTTAGTTACTTTTTATGGGTTGCTGAGAAAAAATACCTGATACCAAAAGTTGGGAAAGGAAAGGTTTACTTCTTACAGATTTGGAGTTTTCAGTCCGTACTCAGGTGGCTCAAAGGCAGACAGGACTGGCGGGGCCACAGTTCATGGTGGCTGCAAACAGCAAGGAGGAAACAGGCAAAAGAGCAAGACAGGCCTATTTACTGCAATTATATCACATTTTGGCTCCATGCCTAGGCCTGTGTAGCACTCACACCCTTAATCCAAATGCTAAAAAATGAACTGGTCACAGATGCATAATAAACGCTCGAGGCCTGGGGGCCACAGACATAAACTATGACAAGGGCCTTACACTGAACAACGGTAAATTCTGTTTTTAAAATTATTTTATTTTGAGCCAGTGTCATCATAAGTAACTACACTGCTGAGACATCGTTCTTGGATGTAGATTCTTACATGTCTATGTGTGGATGCACATTGATATCAGAGACATTTCACTTTCAAAACCGAGTCTTTGTTCTCACATCCATGTATTATTTCATGATCAGATTCCTTAGCTTCTTTCCCTGGTTTTTGTGGCCCACACTGATGCCCCATACCCTTTACATGGAAGATAGGAATAGTCCCAATTCCTTCCTGCTTCAAACAGCTGTGAATCAAACTCTTGAAAAGAAATCTTTCAAAGTTGCGCAGTTCTCTGTGAGAGATAAAACTCTATTATTAATCCTGCCAGATCCAGGGACACTTGCGTAGTGCTCTGATGGGAGATGCAAGACAGGGCTCTGCTCCACCCCCATAGTCTCCCCAGTGCTGTTCAACACCTGCCTTAAAACCTGCCATCACATGGAGACACAGCACATCTCAGGGATGTGTGCCTGCATGAATCAGTTTTGGAAGGCTTAGTGTTATCTGCATTTGTTGGCCACATGTGGTGATTCTCTTTTGAATTACAAGTATTTTTCATCTCTCACAGAATGGAGTCTTGAAACCTCTTTCACATCTGTATCACAAACTATCTGTCTGAATATGGCTTGTAAGGAAAGTTTTCTTGTTGTGGTTTCTATATTCTTGTTTCTGCTTTTCAAATGCAATGAATCAGACCTTTCTAGCTCCCCTCTATCACTGAAATCATGGGAAAGCTTTCCCAACATGAAAAGATGAGTAGACACACAATGATCTCTATATTTTCCTGATAGATTTTGACTATCTGGGGTTTTCTCTTCTATCAAAGAGCAATAGCAGTCAGTGTCATCCAATAAAATTTGACTGAACAGACTCTAATACATTATTATTAAAGACCCAGAGTACTAAATCACAGTGAAAAAAGGTCAGAGGTGGGTGGGGTATAGCAGGAGAGGACAGGGGTATGGATGGGTCCAAAACTGAGCAGAAAGCTGGAACTCAACAGATGTGGAAATTGTACAAATTGATGATGTGCTTATATGTTACTGAATTGAACATGAGGAAAGGAATGGTATCTTAATTATTATTTTAAATTGTCCTAGAATTTAATCTTTAAAAGAATTACAGACTTAGGAGTAGAAATGAAAACTGAAAATAAAACAAGGGGTGCAAGGAAAGAGGAAAGGAAAGGCAGGTGCTTTGCAGGACTTGGCCCTAAGTGGAGCTCAGGATGCTTGCTGTGGAGCCAGTAAAAGCCTCAGCTCAAGAGTTCCTCAAGACAGAGTACCTGGCCTTAGTTTTCACTTTGATCCCAAAGCTCGAGAGGTCACTGGAGGTGGATCCAGTATAAACTCTGTATGTTGGACTTGAGCTCAGTTAGGTACTACCCTGTGTCAGCAGAAAGAGAAAAATCACCAACTGTCCTTGTTCCTTGCAGGCCCTAGAACTTCCCAGTACCTGCCACAAACAGTTCTGTGCACAAATCCACCCCAGCAAAGCTTCCCATCCTTCTTCAACCCACTCACTTGTGCATGCCTCAGTGTTGCAGGAGGTCTCAAGTCTTGGAGTCTTTGTCTGTGTAAAGTGTCCCATGCACTTCCTAGGAGGCCACAGACCCAGGCCAAACCCTCCTGACTGCAGTTCTCATTTTCAGTGAGCTCAGGTTGGTCCAACTCAGCTAGGCATCTTATAGAGATGGACATCAACCTCCTGCTCCAGTGGCAGAGAGCCCTGCCCCAGCCTTTTCTTGGGCTTGAATGGGTCATTGCTGGCCCATGTGCTCCTCATGTGCTGATAGAAGTCCCTAATAGTGCTGCAACCACTTTTCCTCCATTCTTTAGCAAAGCCTGACATACACCTCCCTTTCCAACCCTTGTGGCCTGTCATCTCTGTGATCCAGGGTGATATCTGCAGTGTTACTCTAGTCATGGTCACTCTAGAGCGGTGCTGTGCTATAAATATCTGCAAAGTTAGTGGGCAGAGAGTGTGGGTTCTGCCTGCCTTTCCTCCATCTTCAGTTTATATAATGATGCATCACCCCATTCTGTATGCCTTAGAAGAACTCCTCTTACCCTGTTATGTGTTCACATGTACAGAGGCCAGGAAGTTAGGCACATTCACAGTAGTGTGGGTATTACTTGTTCTGCTCCCCAGGGTGACTGTGTGGCCTGCACAACATTGAAGCAAAAGAGAGCAGTGTGTATATTTAATCTGTTCATTACATCTGTCAGAGTCTAGTAAATTGATGATTAAAGACACCCACCAGCTCTCTCCATGATTTCTCTGTGAACCTGGTTCCATGATAGCTCACAGAGATTCCTTCTCTGGATAACGTGGAAGCCCATAGAATGACTCCCCATTGTCCTTCACAATAAACAAAAGCTTCTTCAACCAAGTGATGGATCCTTGGCAGGATGCAAAGCTTTCTGAGGACTGAGAAAAAATAGCAGTGCAGGTAGTGTCTCGCTTTGAGGCAAAAGATAGGGGTTTAGATTGAACATGTCATTCTGACTTCCTGTGTAATCCTAGACAAGTCACCATGCCTCTCAGGACCTTCCAAATGTGTTCCTCTGCTCTATGGTGGTCATCCTGGCATCTGCTACCTGGGGATATCATCAGTGGTGTGTGATGACATTTGTAAAATCTGTGGGCTGATGTCACATGTAGAGCACAGAATTAGAAGTGAAATCCAGCAAAGGGTAGGATAGAGGGAGAATACAGTGCACACAATTCCTGGCTCCTGCTGTGTGGTGGTATAAATGAGACTTACCTCCTGCACATGCTTCCCTGGGGCCTTCATGAGGGGGTGGAAGTGCCTTGA